ACACGACGAGACACACATTCGGCATGTAAAGCTGTTTGAATACAAGAAGAGAAACAACGCCTCTGTAGCCACAAAGAATATCAGAGAAATTTAAGGAAATGTTTTGAGCGTTCATAAGTGTCAACGATAGTTCGGCAAATTTCATTCAGGTGACTTTAGCCTTAAAAACTGTGATGGGGCCGACATGTTGGAACTGATATTGATGCTCTGAGACGCTTGTTGAGTCTAACCCAAGGCAACACACTCGTGAAATGGACCTGAAATTGCATATTTCTCATAAAACAATACGTAAACATCTAAGAAATATGGGAAAACTCCATAAAGAAGGTGTTTGGGTACCTCACGAACTCTCCGATGATCATCGTTTCCAACATGTGAACGTTGCTTCGTCTCTTCTGGAGCGTAATGCGCGTGAACCATTTTTGGACAGAATTTTCACTGGTGATGAGAAATGGATTCTCTGTGCTAATACTAAACGCCAAAAACAATGGCTCTGTCCTAGACAAAAACCACTTCCGACCCCAAAAGCAGGACTCCATCCTTAGAAAGTGATGCTTTGCATTTAGTGGGACATCAAAGGAGTAATTCATTTCGAACTCCTCAATCCACAGCGAACTGTCAATGCAGATATCTATAGTCAGAAACTAGAATACATAAATCAAGCCCTTCATCAGAAGCGCTCTTCACTCGTCAATCGGAAAGGTGTTCTTCTCCACGACAATGCACGTCCACATGTGTCACGTTTGACGCAACACAAGATTATGGAGTTGGGTTGGGAAGTTCTCCCCACCCACGATATTCTTCAGATATGACACCATCAGATTACCATATTTTTCGTTTGTTGCAACACCATTTTAATGAGAAAACATACACAAGTGTGAAAGATGCTAAAGAGGACATCGACATGTTTTTTGCTTCAAAGCCAAGTGATTTCTTTAATCAGGGCATTACCTGATTGTAAGATGGAAAAGCATCATCGATAAGAATGGAGACAATTTCATTCAATAAATGTTTTGTTTTGATATATAAGTTGTTCGAGTTTTTTCATCTAAAAAAGCGACATTAATTTCTTTACGACCTAATACTTGAAAGCTGGACAGTTGTCAGTTGATTCCACTATAGTTACAGAGAATGTAAACAAATCCAAACACTATGTCTTGGAGGAAAATGTTCTCTATTACACAAAACGGGAAGGATTGAACCAATGGTGACTGCCTTCCCACAACTTGCTGGAAGTGACCGAGTTTGTTTTCCATTATATACATTTTCATTTGTTGATTCCCTTTTCAAACTGATTGTTTATTTGTATATTATGTTATAGTGTAGATAAAACAGGATACATAAGTTCCAAAAGTGATATAATATTGTAAGATAAGTTTAGCAAAATTTATTGCATATTATTTTTGTTGATAGCACAATAATCGATTTTTGAGCAAAGAGCACAACAAAGTTCTTTACCCCCACCAAAAATAGAGAGAGAGAGAGAAGAGGAGAGAGCAAAGAATATCAAAAATGGGCTGGGCGTGGCTAGTGTGTTGGTATTCGGATCGTAAGATCCAAGGTTTGAGCCATGCTTCTGAACGCGCTCTGCACCTTCAGCTGCGTCGACGCAATAAGCGTGACAGTCAGTCCCACTATTCGATTAAGAAGCCATGTAGAAATAGGTACTGTTGTCTGGTTGACCTCCCTGTGATAAGCAGTATTAAATTAGTGGCGGTTATGTATGAAACTCAGGGTTTCTGCCTGGCGCCTCCCAATGGCACAGCGGTATGTCTGCGGACTTACAACGCTAGAAACCGGGTTTCGATACCGGTGGTGATCAGAACACAGATAGCCTCTTGTGTAGCTTTGGCTTAATTACAAACAAACAAACAAACTCTACCTGGCCCATATGTTGCATAAGGTGCCGCTAAGAATGAAGATACCAATACCAACTTTCTTTTGAACACCTTAATTTACCATGATGTTTTATCTTAAGATTTATATTTATCTATATCTTAGTTTTTGGAAGAAACATATGAGGAATCATATAAGAGGAAAACATTGGAGTAGAGGAATAAACTTCTTTACATAGTTAAAAACGTTAATTCCTAAAACTAATAAAACATCTTGCAGTGTTCTGTGTATTAAAAAAAACAGATCTTTGAACAATCTCAACTTTCGGACACCTTGGTTTGGTATTTCTATCGCTATTAGAAGTTTGCATATTTTCAATAGAATAATAAAATATTTTCATAAATGTCTAGTAGCCGTTCAAAGAAATATCAAGCTGTGTTGTAGAGTAAAGCGATTTATTAAATATCTGAAATAAATATAATACTTTTTTCAAAGCACGTGAATGAGATTTGTATTTGTTCACTACTTTCTAGAGGAGTCAAAATACAGTGCTTCTGTTCAATCACAGTTGTTTCAATGAAGATAAATGAGAGAGAGGGGTGGAATCAGCACAAGTGTATATGTCCATCTGATATACTGGCGAAATTAAACAGTAATTGACAAATTATATATCAAACTGGAATCGGTAATCCCGTAAAACTTTTTTACGTATAACTGTTTTATAAAATGGACTCTTTCAAAACTTTGTGTCTACTCATAATACTTTAATTTTGGTAAGTTTCGTGTGTATTGTATTTTTCGTTACAAGACAATAATCCCATGTTTTAATATTTGATTCAACGCCTTAAAAAGAACATTACAATAAAGACTAAATTTTTTCTCGTGTAATTGTACTAAACAACGTGTATATTTAGACCAGTAGAAGTAGGAATTTATAAATCACCCAGTTTATTTGTGATTCGAACGTGGCCTAGTGGTTTGTGTGCTCGTACTGTGAGTCCTAGGGTTCGTGGTTTGCGTCCCGTTGCTGGGGAAACACGTTTCGCACTTCGGGACCGTCGGTGCGCAATGATAATGACGGTCAAGTCCCATTATTAGTTAGACGAGTGTAGCCGAAGAGTTGGCAGTACATGCTAGTGACTAGCTGCCTTGCTCCTACTCTATCAGGCGAAAATTGGGGACGGCTATGAGCATATAGCCCTTTGTGCAACTTTGCGCGAAAATTCTAGAACATATTGTTTTGTTGTACGGGTTTCAGTAAGAAAGTAAAAAAAAATAATAATTTAGGAAAAGCAATGTGGGCATATTTTACTCCTGCTGGTAATTATATTGAAAGCAGACTGTCACAATTTCTGATTAAAGACTTTTATTGCCTTCGAAAAAATTCCCCTTTAAAATTACACGGATATTCCTCAAAATCTTTTACTTTTATCTTAAATTTATCACATCTTTCCTTTCGTTTAACGAAATGCAATTAGTTTTCTTCAATAAAAGCATATCGTATTTCAAGTTAATTCAATCTATTTACCCAATAGGAATTGAAGGAAAAAACTGTAAAATTCTGTTTACTGTTGTTTCCCAGTGACACAGCAGTAAGCTTGAGGAGTTTGTAACATTACTTTTCGAAGTTCGATCCCCGGGTTGGGCGCAGCCGAGGTAGCTCATTCTACATCTTTGCACTTAAACAAAGAAACAATAAAATAGTTTACTGCTGCCTGATATTTAGTTAAATATGATCATCTTATTAAAGTTTCTTTTTTGATAAATGCTTATAGCTCATGCAAACCATAGAATTTCCCGACTCTTGGTTTACCATCTTCAGAGTCAATTTTTTTTTCGATAAATGGAAAAAAAAAATATTAATTTGTTGAATGCTTCGCAATATTTTAACATATCTCTGTTGTGGTTTTTACGTCGGCTCTTTAAAAATGACATATCGTACGCTTGTTATTAAACATTTGTGGTAGTTTGCTCTTATAAGCTTACATAACTGTCTTTTAATAGGTCATACCAGGCTTGTATGTAGGGAATCTAAGAGACTCCGAGGACCAAGACCAACTGTATAAGAATAAGATAACTCACATCATTTCCATACACGATAATGCAAGAGAAGTTCTTAAAGTAAGTTTTTTATGTTTGTTTATTTTCTGTAACTATCACGCTGTCTGTTAATCCACATATCTTTCTGTCAGTTTATTAACTATATATTGTTATGTATCTGCTTGTTTGTTAATTTCCGGTATAAATTCTTCCTGAGGATCTTCAGAGATACAAGTCCTTTTTTAATTAAAACTAGTTTATTCTTTCTCGATACAACTTTGTAATACACAGAATTTCCACAGTCACTTTAAACTTAACAACCTTTATAACACACGCTATAAATCACAGTGATTCACACAATTTACTTACGGTGCTACTGTTCGCTTGACTCAATTATCTATCTCTTCCCTCTATCTATCTCTGCAATCTGTCTATCTATGCAATTGCGCTAGTTTTTCTCACCAAGCTTATATACTAAAAAAGAGGGCGCCTCTAACAAACTCGGGCCTCCCCGATAATTCATGATCCTTCCAGAAACTCCAGCGCGCATGCTCCCAGAGTCACGCGACTTCTGCTGTCGTAACAATATTTTATCTAACTTTGTCCATCTCGCTATTTTACTGTTTCTTTCTCTCTACATACCTGATGATTTTCTGTTCTGTCTTTATAATTTTCACCCAGTTGTTAATGTCTAATCTTGACTATCTATACAATTAGCTAGGTTGTTAGCCCTTTCGTTCTTTCCATTTCTCTCCTTTTATTGAAAAGTTTGCCTGCTATATAACTTTATTTTATTTTTTCATCTACCCGTACCCCCTTTTGTCTATTCATCTATATACCACACACAAAAATAGAGCTGGGTAACATTTTTACCAAATAAATGAAATACCCATTTTGGGCTTTAATACTGGGTAAAATAAAATGATTTTTAAAAGTTTTCGAGCACCACGCTTGTATCGAACAATTAGTAACATTTTCTCATTTTACGCGAAAATTCATTGCAGTTGCTTTTTTATACGAGTTTGTGGCGTTGTGGCTTCTCGTTTAAGTGAGGAGAATTTGATAGGAGCACTTTATGTTGAAAATTAAACTTACATAAAGAACTTTTTTCTTTGCTTTGAATTTTATCATTCCTCATCTATGACTTTAATACAAGGATCAAACTAACCCACTGTAAAGGTTTATTTTGGTAGAAAGACAACCAGTTAGATATCTGCTACATGGAGGAAGCTGGTCTATATTTTAAAGTTTTTATGTCTTAAACATGACATATCTAGGCATATGCTTGTAAACTTAAGAACTTACTCAATGTGTTCATTTATGAAATGCCAATGGAAGAATTAAAAAAATCTCCTCGATCTGCATGTGCTTTTGTCAGCAATTAAAGTAAAACGTCACTCAGTTTTACATCATGGGGTTGTTTACATAAATATAAGCAACAAAATATTTTAATAAATAGCGTCTTATGAGTTTTAAGATAGAGAATATCAGCAATTTTGTTTTTGTTTATATCTGTTCTTGCTAAAGGAAACTGAATGTTGTGATTTTTGGAACCTGTGATTTACATCGCAGTTAAACAGTGTAGTATAGCTAAACAGTTTATTTAGTTTGTCAAACGTTCTGCAGTTCCAAATATAACTTTGAGTTATGAATTCTTTTTTATGGATATATATATATATATATGTGTGAGTGTGTGTGTGTATACACTCATAGAACGGTTGCAGATCACATTTAACACTCCTGTTTCAGCTGAAAGATGAGCGAAAATATGAACGAAAAAAAAAAGCGTAATTTTATTTTAAAATATTTCTTTTTCCGCTAAAACGTGAAGAAAATATAAGTTATAATACATAAGTTATTCTTAATCCTCCTGCCAAAAAATCAAGAGATACAAAAATGCAGAAGTCGTCAGCCAAAATTATATGATAATGATGAAACAGCGTCTTTCGAAGAGTTTCAAAGTCATTTCATCTCAAGTAAATGGAATAAAACAAACAGGACCAAGTAAGAGAGCATATTATACTACTAACTGGAGTACCCATCGCCTGGACGGAAGTTATATTAATCCATGATTAATGAAATGTTTACATAGGACATGAAAAGTTGCTTCCCTTATATGTAATTGTAAAAAACGCAAAAACAACCATAACAATTGCAAAACACAAAGTGTAAATCGCAAGTCTGCATGTAGCTCTGCATGGACTCGACAAACCTTGATGCCAGATTTGGTGAAGATCCATCAACAGGGGGCGATGTAGTGGTAAAAAAACGCAAAAACACCCATAAAGATCGCAAAAATGCAAAACTGAAAATTTGAATGTATCTCTTTATGGACCCAGTGAACCTCCTTACCAAATTTGGTGAAGATCCATCCATCGGAGGTGAGGTAGTTACATGGACAGAAATCAGACAGTACTATTATATCTATATAGATGTCTCAAACTTTAATTACCTGTTGTACTTTACTGGTCTTTTTATACTTTTAACAGTTTCTTCAGGCTGTTGATCATGGACAGTGAATTAAGACTGTACATTGAGGGTCTCAAATTACCCTCATTTAGTCCTGTTAATTTTGTTCCATGTAGCTCAGTCCAGTTGGTTTGTATCTAGTGATCGCTGTGCTTCTTTTACGGCTGATATATTTTGGCACTTTTTGTACTTTCTGTCCATTTTGTCAAAGAACAGTGGTATGTTAGGCCAAATATATAATTTATAAAACAAAATTAATAATAAACTCAAGTTTTCCACAGACAGAAATGATAAATGTTATCCCAGAACGAGGGCACTATACATACACACGTATGTATCTAGCTGAGTGGTTATGATTATGTAACTAACCCAACAATTTGGCTAAATATCACTGAATCGGGAAGGCCTAATGGTTAACATTTCAAATTGTGTACCATGATGTCACTGAACACTTTCTCTACCTTCAGCTGTGGGTGTGTTATAAAAGTTGTCAGTCAATCTCGATATTTGGTTCATAAGAGCTCGACGAAGCCATTGTAGCGGCGGGTGCTACTGGCTGGCTGTCTTCCCTCTGATCAGTAATTCAAAATTTGGGACGGCTATACTTAACCCTAGGAGACTCTGACCTGGCCGTGTAGCTAACATTAGCATAAGATGCCGTTCAGGTTGAACAGCCCGGTTTTAGTTTTTTTTGTTTTACGTGGAAATTTTCATTACGTATATTTCTGTTTATCTATCACGTGTTTATCTATCTGCCTTTAATTTTATTTAGATATCTATATATGTTTGTTTGTTTTATCACTTTGTTTGACTTATGTTGTTAATTTATGTTCGACTTGTATTTTCATATCCATAACTGTAAATAAATATATAGCAACTGTATGGCTTGAATACATGCCTGCCGTTACGTACGGTGGCATTGACTCTTGAGGTATGTGTCGCATGTTAAGATGTGCATGAATATAAACAAATAATACACTGTGTTCTGTTGATTCTCTTAAAACTTAATAGTTCGGGTTATTACTGTAATCAAAATTAAATTGTTCACGGATATCGTTTAGTGATACTACATGTATATGCTCAGGGTCCCCGAAAGTGTTCGGTTTCGAGAGTAAGTAAAACCAAAGTAAAGGGTAACAAATATTTTTTCTTGTTTTTGAAGTTCATATATGATGCTGTGTTGTAACCTACAGAGTGCATAATTCTTCTCGTGATTCATGGCATGCGCACATTTTATTAAAGTCACGACAGTACAAATTGCAACGTTAAGCGTCCCTTATGCAAAGTCATTTTAATATCTACTGAATGACTGACAGACAACACACTACCAGTCAATATTAGTTCTATTCTGATATATAGCGTTAGCCCATTAATAAAAATGTCTTAAGTTTTATTCAGTGAGTTTGAAAAAGGCTGATTTAAAAAAAAAAACTAAGTACGTGGTTTTGGTAAAACAAATTTTTTTCCATAGTAACTAAAATCGAGTAAATTATTCGTTTGTCAATAAACTATTTGTTTTCTGACCACCGCGGATATCAAAACCTGATTTTCAATGTTATAAGTCCACAGACTTATCGCTGAGCCACCGGAGACCAACAGGGGCATTAAGTTAATAAAACCAATCAAATAGAGATTAACAATAAGTATATTTCTATTAGCGTTATAACTAACGATATAAAATTAGTTGTTCTTGTTATCAGTAACTTTATTTTGCTCAGTATTATTGTTTTTTTATGCATTACGTTCAAATTAACCATTCATTCGCTTATTGTTTCCAATACATATTGTGAGAATAACTGAATGAACCAGAACGGTGAAAACATATTAACGTTTCAAAATATAAAAGTTTTTTTTTATATTAGTTCGCATGCAAATAGTGTACATCTTCTGTTTTTATACAGGACAAAAAATATCTTATTATTCAAGCATCCGATTCTCCGCATCAGAATCTCTCTCAGTTTTTTCCTCGTAGCAACGATTTTATCCACAACGCTCGAATCAGTGGAGGCAACGTGTTGGTCCATTGGTAAGTATATACTGTATAAATGACGCAAAGACGTATAATGCTCGTGTACTTCGAACATTATTTGTTTGTTTTTGGATTTCGTGCAAAGCTACACGAGGGCTATCTGCGCTAGCCGTCCCTAATTTAGCAGTGTAAGACAATAGGAAAGATTGCTAGTCATCGCCAACTTTTGGGCTACTCCTTTACCAACGAATAGTGGGATTGACCGTCACATTATAACTCCCCCACGGTGGAAAGGGCGAGCATGTTTGGTGGGACGGGGAATTCGAACCCGCGAACTTCGAACGTAGACACTATATAAATTTTCTTTTTTTCGAACATGACTGAGTTGTCTGTTTAATCTTAACGCACAACCAGTAGTAAGCAGGTTAATGGTTTAAATCTAATTAAACTACATTATATTTAAAATGAAAGTTGATTATAAAAACATAAAAAATCCCACTGAAGCCTTACACTGTTCATTTTGTGGGAGATAATGTCATAATTAGAAGATGTGTGTGACACTTGAATATCGTTTAGATAAGTCAACAATATAAAATGTCAACAAATCAACGATAAGTTGTTGCTTTCGTCGTGCACAGCTACAATATGACCACCATAGGGAATCGAACACCAGTTTTTATCGTTGTAAGTCTGTAAATTTACTGCTAACACATCGAAAGTCTCAACGATAATTGTGGTTTAAATATATTTTTTTAATAGTTGTATTGGCCAGAGTAACATGTAATAATCTCCCATCTTATAAATTAGTCTGGATTATGGGTATCAATTACTGCATTTTTTTCATTCTCTTTTCATCAAAGACGTTCGAACCAAAGACAGTTTCTCTAAAATTGAAACTTCGAAATCTGAAAAAGACCAAATTATGTCGTTTTATGCAGTCTCCTAACGGGCGCACTTTAGGTTAGACAGGGGGCAATTGTCCATTTCCTTGTTTAATCTCATTTGTATATTTTTGGAACAATAAACATATATATACGTGAAACTTTTTAATGATTTAGGCGAGTGCCTTGATACTTTCGTGTTTTTTCTTTCTGTAATTTAATTTTGTTGAAAAGAGCTTTTATTCCTGATTAACTGATGCCACCATATTACATTTTAAGGTTCCGAGATTTCTTGCGTTTCGGAAATTTAACGTAGTAAGGCTTTACATGTTAAATAACAGGGCTTTTATTTCTTAGAGAAGAATAAACTTAAGATTAACATTTACTTAATTACATATAGAACACTCTCTTGCTTTTTCTTAGGTTGGGTGTGACCTTGGTTAGCGTGCTGGCCTGTGAATTCTAGAACCTATGGTTCTCGTATATTTGTTGCAAACTGCTCTCCACACTTTATGTTCGTGGGTGCGTTATAAGAGCAACGCTCATATCGTACTATTTCAGTAGAGTAGCCCAAGAGTTTGCAGTGGATGTTGTTGATTAGCTGCCTTCCATCTGGTCTATCAGCTCAAAATTAGGAACGACTAGCTCACGTGTAGCTCTGCGTGAATATCGAAAACGACCTTACTTGTTCTTGACTTCAAAAATATAAATCTTATAAGAAAGAAAATCTGAGCCTCTCAATCCATGCTAAAATTTTTCATTTTACTCTCACGTTTCCTTTCTTATAATTAAACGACTTTTAAATTACGTCTGCTCGAAACTTCTGTACAAATCATCGACCTCTGTTTTATCATATTGTATTACAGATCTCTCAATGACACATTATTTTCCTACTTAGCTTTATTTGTTGTTGTGCCCCCTCGTGGTACAACTGTACATTTACGGACTTACAACGCTAGAATCCGGGATTCGATTCCCCGTGGTGGACACAACAAATTGTCCAATGAGGCTTTGTTCAGAAAACAAACAAACTATATATATATGTACATAAGTATTTAATCTCTGAAACACGACAATAGAGAGCTTGTTACAATATTCTTTTTTCATGCATATATATAGGCCCAACGTAACTGCACACCCCACATATCTTTGTTTCTGATCTGTCCTTTCTTTCATCTTTCTATCTAACTATATTCAACACAGTAAACTGCAACAAACTTGTGTTATAAACGACAAAACTTGTCTTCTGTGGAACATATGTGGTACGTGAATGGCTATAACACAAGTTCAAGATAAAAACAGAACCTGGCATAAATTGGTGGTTAGGATGCTCGACTTATAATCTGCTGTTTGCGGGTTCGAATCCTGTTATCGAACATCCTCGCCATTTTTAGCTGTGGAAGCGTTATAATGTGCCGGTCAATCCCACCTTTCGTTAGTAAAGAGTATCCAAAGAATTGGCGGTGGTTGGTGTTGACTAGCTATTTTGCGTCTATTCTTTCGCTACCAAATTAGGGATGGCTATCACAGAGTAGTTCTCGCAAAATTCTAAAAACAAACAGGCTAAAAATAACAGCGTCATAATAAAATAGAAGTATTAACTGACACACACACACACGGTCTTTGGATTGAATTTTATACAATCCACATACACACTAAATGGGTGAATTTATACAGACACAATTTTAAACTGAAAACACACGTCATTTATGTTAGAAAATACAAATTGTGTTTTTAGATCGCAAAAACAGTCGTGTTGTACGCATAAGTCTGAGTTTGACGGATACAGTTTGTGCTGTAAAATTAGACAATTTTTGTGTTAATTTACAACACAATTTTTTTTACAGTGTAATGATGAAAATGTCGTCAGACAGGTGTTTCAAATATACTCTGTATATGACTGCAAGACACGCACACATACTTAATAAATTAATACTGATTTTATGAACAAGTAAACGGAGATTATGTCTGCAATTCGAAAATTATAATGCTGCATAATAACATTCAGTGCACACTATTGTGCTTTGTTCAGAAGTTATATTGTCAAAATTAAGAGGCTTATTGTTTCTAATATTTTATATATAGTAGTAGTATGTAATAAGTAGGTTGAATAATATGGATGTTGGGCTAAGGATTCTTCTACAGTAGGTGCCTGTGACTTGTTGGCGATAAATTCAACAATAAATGAACAGCACGCACTCCGCTTGTTTTAAAATAATATATTCAAAACAAGTTAAACGTATGTACAAACATTCTTTACACTATATATATATATAATAGTTGTATATTAAATACTATACATAATTCTCTTCTTGTTGTCTTAACTCTCTTATTATAGAAAAAACTAAACAATCATGAAATATTAATTCACGAACTAATTAATTAATACTACCTATACTAAACAGTCTTTTATATCATGACATATTTATATATTCACGATTTTATGGGCACTTTGTAACAATAAACAGTATAAGCTATTGTTGTAAAATTTTAATATTTCTCTAGTCTAGTAGGTATGTCCAGGAGTGTAACAGTGGCTGCAGCCTATATTATGTGTGTGACGTCACTGGATCATAGGGATGCAATGAAAGTTGTGCGAGGGGCTCGAAACGTAGCAAATCCTAATTTAGGTTTTCAGAAGCAACTCCAAGACTTCGAGCACAGAAAAATTTCAGAAGTAAGTTGCCGTACTTAATATTTAAAAGGATAATAAAATAAGAAAATGGTTGTCATGTATAGTTCTTAAGGTACATAGAACTTTCTGAGGATACATTTTATATGTTGATATTGAGGCACAGGAAACATAAAACAGTATATGACAGAAGTATAACTGATGTATGGGAACCTCAAAGAATAATTGCCACATATAACATTTAAAGTGCTTGAAACGTCTAAAGGAAAGTTGCCATATGCACTGTTTAAAACATGAAACTTTAATAGAGTAGTCATCACGTGTAGTATTCAAAGCACCTGAAGCTTAAGATACCCGAAGCTCTCAGTGGATAGTTGCAAGCACCTGAAACTTTCAGTTAATAGTTATATGTGTAGTATTTAAAGTACCCGAAGCTTTCAGTGGATACTTGTATGTGTAGTATTTAAAGAACCTGAAGCTTTCAGTGGATGTTGTATGTGTAGCATTTAAAGTAATTGAAGCTTTCAGTGGATGTTGTATGTGTAGCATTTAAAGTAATTGAAGCTTTCAGTCGATAGCTGTATGTGTAGTATTTAAAACACCTGAAGCTTTCAGTGGATGTTGTATGTGTAGTATTTAAAGTAATTGAAGCTTTCAGTGGATAGTTGTATGTGTAGTATTTAAAGTAATTGAAGCTTGCAGTGGATGTTGTATGTGTAGTATTTAAAGTAATTGAAGCTTTCAGTGGTTAGTTGTATGTAGTATTTAAAGCACCTGAAGCTTTCAGTGGATAGTTGTATGTGTAGTATTTAAAGCACGTGAAGCGTTCAGTGGATAGTTGTATGTGTAGCATTTAAAGCACCTGAAGCTTTTAGTGGATGTTGTATGTGTAGTATCTGAAGCACCTGAAGCTTTCAGTGGATAGTATGTGTTGTATCTTAAGCACCTGAAGCTTTCAGTGGCTAGTTGCATGTGTAGTATTTAAAGCACCTGAAGCTTTCAGTGGCTAGTTGCATTCGTAGTATTTAAAGCACCTGAAGCTTTTAGTTGATAGTTGTATGTGTAGTATTTAAAGCACCTGAAGCTTTTAGTTGATAGTTGTTTATGTAGTTCTTGAAGCACAGAACATTTTCACACATTTAGCACACAGCATCTCAAGTACAAGAAATTCTCAGAGATATTCGCATTTAATCTTAGGCCTTTACTTATGATATTGTTACGACAGCGGAAGTCACGTGACGCTGCCATGAAATTTCTCGAATGATCGAGGAGGCCCGAATGTTAGTAGATAAGCCTGGCACAGAAGCCAGCGATTGACAGGTAATTAAAGAAGCGAACATTAGTGACGGTAATATAAAGTGTGTTGTACTCGTAGAAAGAAAAGTTATCGAGATTGTAAATCGCTGTGATTTATAGCGTGTATTGTAAAGTAGTTAAGTTTACATTGACGAGAAACGTACTGACTGTGGAATTACTGTGTACTAAAAGTTTGTACCGAGAAAGAATAAACTGGTTTAACCAAGAAGAGACTTGTATCGCTGAAGTTCCTCGGAAAGAATTTACACCGGAAATTAACAAACAAGCAGATACGTAACAATATTTAGATCAACTTGTCCATTATTGCTGTAAACATAAATGTTTTTTTTTTATCCTGTGTAAACATACCTACATTTTCCAGGTGCAATTTTATCCTTGCATATTTTTTTCAAAGTAATTTTGTTACATTGTACGTAAAATTCAAAACCGAAAGTTCGTTAAATTCTCTTTATAAGTAAGAAATGTATAAAGAAAAAATGTTTTGCGTGAAAAGGTTGGCTCAATTCTAGCTTATAAATAAAATTTAAGCATTATTTATAAATAAATTGTGTTGTGACTGTTATGAAGAATATACAGGGTGTCCCAGAAGTTTGGACCCATAGAGAAAAAATACACAATTTATTCTTAATTTATTTATTATTCAAATTACATGCCATTAACAGCCATACACATATCAAGTCTTGGTATACTGTGCCATCAGGGTATTTTCTTTCCTGATATATGTACAACTGACTTTAGAAATGAGTTTATTTAACTAAGAATATCGTATCTATTTTCCCTATGGGTCCAGACTTCTGGGACAACTTGTATATTCGGTGGTAATTTGAATTTGATCATTATATTTTCTTGTGTATTCGATACATAAGTATCCTTTTTGTTATTTGAAATATTTTATGTATTTCTTCCTGTTTAAGCTTTGAAAGGTGAACAGTTTTGGTCGACACAAAAATGGTCACACTTGAACGGGTTCGGTGTAGGTATTACGTTCAACATGCAGTTATATTCTCACCTCATTCTCGCGCTAGTCACATATTGTCAAGGTTCATTCCCTCTTGGTGTACTGGACTCTCCCATGGGTTGTGTCGTTGGTGAATTCGTTAAGCTGTTACTATTGTATTTTCTAGATCATCAGCCATATATATATTTAGGAAGCAGGGAGGATGTGCCTTCTTATTTTTAATTATGGTACGACCAAGTGACTTGGTTGACAAGTTCATTCTTGAAGAACTGACCATATTGTAATATGTATACAATGATTATTTTTCTCATCCTACACCAAATTTTCAACAGCCTTGGTCATATCTTCCTCCGACATAGAGCTCTCAACATCTAGAAAGTAGTGATGTTCTAAGTTTTTGAGCACTCGTCTCACCAGTGAAGAAATATACGTGTCTTATGTCGCAAATAAATAGTGTATATTTATTCATTGTTATTAAATTGTGTCCACTATCTTTCTTCAACTTAGTCAAATCTACTTGAATTCTGTAATATATTTCCTGTGTATGACCAATTATTGCTATTACTATCATTACCTGAAGGTTATCAGCGAAACTAAGAATGACATATTTTTGGATCATAAAACACTATATATAAGCTTTGTTCACTCTTCAGAAGCGATCTCTCACATTTTGTATCCGCAGTTCTTGTGTTCTAATTTGTCTTTACTAATTACAAACAGAACTAACATATATGAAAAGTGTTGGAGTAATTTTTTATATATTCAATGCTCTGTATATAATGAAAAACTATATAATGGCATGTAACGGCTTACTATGCAGCACAAGTATTATATGATGCGCGTGTAACGGAGTTTCGTGTTTTTTTATTCAAATAATTACTCTAGATGCATGGTTTTAAATCCTATATATGGGGTGAAAAAGCTGTACAGTACTGGTACATTCAGTACTCATTAAAAACTTTCATCGAATGTTAATCTTTACTTACATTGTTCGGATTACGACATCTGAAGACTTGCGTGCATTATTTTAAAAGGAATGTAATGTATGTTTATGTTACGTTCTGACCATTTACATATACGTGATATAAAGTTAATACATTTTAATAATAAAGTGACTGGTTCAAAAAATTAATTTTATATCAACAAATTCAGTGGTATTGTCAGTGTTCATATTCTTACATATATATTTGTGTAATGATTTCTATTATGTAGTACATGAATGTAATAATTATAGCTTAATGTCAATTCGATTTTGTTATTCAATGCATCGATAAGAGACATACAAGTGCCATCTGTGACTATATTCACTTGTGTGACTTAGTTAGTTAGGTCTAGAAAAGGATTAGACCGTTTGCTTGAAAGTGGATTGGGGTGTTTTACTCATATGTATTTTTGATCCGTTTTTACTTTTATTTGAATGTTGTTTAACAAAAAGAAGGGATATGTAAAGCTTCGAAGTAGCTTCCTGTGGTACTGGTCAAAATGATACTCCTTATATTCTATGTATGAAATCCTTTATCTCAACACATTCTCAATAAGTCTCCAAATAATTCATGTTTTAAATATAATCATTGACGTTTAGTCTGTTTGGTGAGAAATTTCTTCAATATTTCAGAGTGAACAGAGGCCTTTTTTTATAATTTTGTGTTATAGGCAGGCTACTGAGTTGCTGTTGCAATAGAACCAAATCTGTACTTTTAAATATTCTACAACTATTGAGTTGCAGCGTTAGCGTATGCCTGATATGAATTAATCGAATGTTATGTCACATATTAACAAATATGCTGGAATAGCAACAGATTATGATGTTCTTTATTTTATTCCTTTAGTAACCGTTACGAACACCTAACTTCCTGTCAGTGTACATATAAATAACACCCGCGTTTTCGTATGTTTATATAGGAAAGAAAACGACTGAGGTACAAATATTCACATCAATCACTCGAACAAGACGAGAAGATATGTCGGAAACTAGTGACGAACTATAACAAATCAACAGAAACTTTGAACACTCGCTTTTCAGCATGTCAGTGATAAAAAAAACCTTCTGAGGGTGAAAATTTTCTCTTGTCCTCATTCATCAAGTGTCCACAGAATCTTGTATGGTTATGTAAGCTCTGTGTGTATGCGATATTAAATAGACATTTAATAAGCACATAGCTACCTGTATTGTTGAAAGACAACTGTCAGTAATATTGTACCCGAAGGAACCACGTGAACCATTCAAATATCTGTACAATTTTTTCTAAAAATAACTTACTTTTCTTTCATCTTCATTAGTTAATAAGTTGTAATGCCTACAAGCATATACTATGCATAACTTGTGAAATAATATAAAAATTATCTTTGAACTTCAAGTGAAATAATATATATATATATATATATATATATTAAAAGCTTATTACTCGATAATGGCTCTCTTTCCTAGTAGCTTTATATATTCAGTATTTCATTTTCAAGATAGACTGAAAGACAACAGAAAATTCAATATAGTACAATGTATACTCATTTTTAAATGAAACGAACCGTAGATAGAACTTGGGAATAAAGATACTTATTTAATGCCTCCCCCCCCCCCTAGGAAAAAGAGAATGTCTTAGAAAAATACAGTTTTGTTTTGTCGTGATTACACGCTTATAAATGAAAAAATATCACTAAATAAAAGGCAATTAAAACGAGCTATTCTGGCCTAAACACTGGAATATGCGTATGGTGGTAATATGCAAGTGAAATACACTATTGTTGTTGTTTTATTGCAAAGCTATTTTCGTTCTGTCCATCATGGGAAATCGAGCTACAGATTTTAGCTTTGAGTCCGTGAACTTACCGCTGACTGGCCACTGCGGAACCCACTATTTAGCCAGTCGTTTATGAGAAGTTTCATTTCATTGTTACTTAGGTAAACACTTCCAGAAATTAAGCATAATAATTCAAAATATAATACATAAGTAAAGTATATAAAAATACTTAAAGATAACAACACTTCTTTTGTCTTAATTCTGACGTTTCGAAACTTCGTTTTTACATACATTTTGAATAGGTTTTGACACTATAGATACACATGTATCTCTTATATTAAGCTTTGTAATGGGTAATAAAATTTATGTTTTATATTGGCTTTAAAAAAAAACTATAAGAAGTATTTTTATATAAGATTTGTTATTAACAGGTAGCAATATTTTTACAATTGATTATGAAAAACTTGTACGAAATGTTTGAAAGACTTGCGTATATTTGTCGTGTTTTTGATAAATATTCATTCCTTTTCAAACAGCCTTTCAATAAATATACATTTCTTCGTTTAGATTTTCGTAAGAGCTGATTTTTTACACCTAGGCATTTATAACTGTGGAAAACGTTAAATAAGCATAAGTAAAAGTTGAAATATATTGTTACGACAGCGGAAGTCACGTGACTCTAGTAATACGTCATGAGATTCTAGAAAGATCATGTCCGTTCGTAAAGCCTCGAGTGTTCTCCAGACGCCCTCTATTTCGTATATATTAGACCGGCGAGAAGTGACGTCATAGATATGAATAATTGCAGATTGAAGAGATAGAGACAGACAATTGAGTCAAGCGTAGTAAAGTGCGTGAATCGTTCGTTGTGAATTATAGCGTGTGTTTAAGTTAAGGTACTATGGAAATTAAGTGTATTGCAAAGTTGAATTGAGAAAGAATAAACTGGTTTTAATTAAGAAAGGACTTATATCGCTGAAGTTTCTCGGAAAGAATTTCTACGGGAAATTAACAAACAAGCAGATACACAAGAAAGCTATTATAGATGTACAGTGGAATTACAACATCAGGATAGAAGAGGTACAGAAAAGAAAGTCTGTAAAAACAAACTTGAAGTAGTAGTAAAATAAATCAATGAGGTAGTAAAAACATCACTGATAGAATAAAACATCTAGAAAAGGAATTGGTAAACCCAAAGATCAAACCAGCCACACCTCCTTTACTAAAAAATATGGAAGAGGAGAATCCTTACTGTTCCCAATACTGATATGCCATCTGTGACTATAGGACCTTCCTGGACAATTTCAGCAGTGTCACTACCAAATGAAGTTCAAGAATGTAACTGCCCAGTTCAACAACATTACATGGTCAAGAAAACAACAGACTATGATAGAAAATTACAATTGGAGGCATGTGAAGCTCAGTTATAAATAATTTACAAAGTGAACAGGTGGAATAGTGAACAATAAGCTATTCATCATGCTGTTCATTTAAAAGGACCAATTTTAATGGTATTAGGTAACCTTTCAGCTGAGTCACAACAACTATCCAGAATTGATAGCTGCTTTATCCAACAGCTTTGGAGTGGCATGCCAGAATTAAGTTTCTAAAGTTCCAGAGCAGGGTTTAGAGGAAACAAGAGACCTTAGCTGAAATTGACGAATATTTAGAAAGGCTTGCCTAATTATCTTAATTGCATGAAATAATGGATTCAACAGCACGTAGCCAATTCATAGATGTCATAATAGACATGAATATGAGAATTAAACTGAATCAAAGTAGTTGTACATCTTTAAAGGAACCTCTCCAGTTTGTGATGAAAGTTAAATCTATTAAACAACTAAAGACATCATCTAAAAGTTGCAGTATTATCATATCAATTAGTAAAGAGAACTGTTATAAGTATGGGATCCATAGCCATTACAGCTTATGAGAAATCAATGTTTGTTAATACACCCAAGAAACAATACCTTACGGATGAGTCTTTGAGCACAACCAGGTCAAAGGGATAACAGAGCTAACCACACATTGGAAAAATAGAAATTAGCTCGAAGGTGAACAGAATAAGAAATAAGAATGTCTATGCACTGCTAAGGATTGATTCTACTTTGAATGCTTTGTCTGGATCAAAGTTAGAATTTTCCTATACTGAAAATGTTTTTCCCAATAGGTACTTCCCTCCACTCAGGTGATTCCAATGCGTGTCTCATGTAAATCATCATGCGTCACTTCTCCATCAATAGGAGCATAATACACTCACGTGACGCATGTGACTCCATCTTTGTGCCTCTACCAAACTATCAATTCGAAGTTTGGGAGAAAATGGAAACACCGGAAGCGTGTGGGGAGGGAAGTACCTATCATAAAAACATTTTCAGTATAGGAAAATTATAACTTTCAATACAGTACTTTTCTCCACAAGATTAGCTAGAATCCTACATTGATCAGAAAGAGGGAGCAGTGCAAGGGAAAAAACAGACATACTCCCTGAAAGCATTCAAAGGATCACTTCCTGTAGATGAGAGAGTCAGGTCTGAAGAGGGGAACCACATCACTTCTGAGCCAGGTAAATTCTTCGCCCATGTGTAAGATATCAGGGTGGGAAATGAGAGGAGCACATCTGAGTGGGAGAGAATGTGGCAGGAAAGTGATCCTCACCAGAGAAAGATATTGCAACTCAATCCCACAATGAGAAAAGTGGGTAAACAAGGATGTGCCCCTGGATATAGAGTGGCTAGGGTGGGGTGGACTGTGCTCAGTAAGTCAACTACATCCAAAACCTCCTCACAGGGTACCACCATCCATGCACGGGTAGGATGAGGATCATACTATCTTCATCCCAAACCCAAGAACCAAGGAATTGAGAACCACTCTGATTCCTGGCTATGACACAAGGATTGGTTCTGAGCTATCGATCCAGGAATTTGACATCTGCTATCAAAAGAATGTCTTTCCTATGCAATCAACTCTCCCAACCGTGAAACAGGCCAGGACCCTCCAAATAGCAATAACATCATTGTAAGAAGCGAGAACAAGCGATAACCAAGGATATAACCGAAACAATCCCATGTACCATCACTGTGATCCACAACACAGATGGAGGAGGATAACGAGGGAGGAAGATAGACAACCCATAACCTGTGTGAGGACTTGTGTTGATTGGTTCAATATAAATCCAACACTAGGCCACGCTGTACCAACATCCACGAGGCAGTAGGCCCAATAAAAGAGGTGAACTGTATTTTCGATGGCTCAACTCCAGTGGTTGTGTAAATGGTATTAGGAGACAACATCACATCTCACATCTACATCAGCAAAATAACACCACCCTACTATCAATTGAATGGTTATAGCCATCTTTTTGTGGAACTTGCTCAGGAAGGTGCCTTCACAGTCAACCACCCAAGCAGCTTGGAAATGGAAAGCAGTAAGGACTTCCACTCTCCACTAGAAGAAAGGAGGGTGAATATGCGGTGCAGAGTCCAGAGGAAGGCCATCACTGTAGACAGTGCAATGAGTGACCACAAAACCTTATTTTGAAAACAGACCATAACGATTTCTTCAATCAAGGCATGGCAGGCATGCTTTGCCCATGCATCCCATGGATGGTACAATCCAGAACAGGCATGTTTATGAAGTAAAACATCACGAGATTATTAACCTCCAGGTAATCTTGTGGAACATCCCAGTTCACTGGCGAGCATTGCAAAGCCATGGAAGAGAGTGCAATTCAACATGGTTGTACAGTGTAGATTTCACTTGAAGGATATCTAGTTAGGCACCACTTGCCACAAAGCAGGATCCAAATAGTGAATAATGAAGCAAGAACCCCTGAAAGGAAAGAAATAATGAATAGAAACTTATCCAGTTAGAGTAGCACCAAAGTATGAAAAATGGACAGAAGTGGTATAAGAAAACCTGAGGAGGAAGAAACCGCGATATGGTGTAGATAGGGAGATGAATGAATTAGGTGTAGTACTCATGCCCAAATGTAGGAGTTCCTTCAATGACCGATGAAGACAAGATGCCAGGGAAAAGGTAAGGATGTCGAACCTGATTAGAAGACACCTGGAACAAAGTCTAGGAATAAGAATATAATGGGGATTAAACTTGTGGGATCAACAGCCAAACACAATTGGTGAGGGTGGAAGATCTCGACTCGAGGAAAACAGCTTAGGAATAAGGAGGCAGGTGCAGGCACCATGGAAAGAAGTTGTACAGGCAATAGAACAATTAAAAGCATAGACCATACATAGGAGTCGATCCAGATTGGGATGAGTATAAAGATGGGAAATGAAAGGAAATGAATTAGGCAAAAGGAGGAGTTACCTTCCATAGCTTCAATGTCTTGGAAGGAAGGAAAATCTGTATAAAGGAGAAGAGAGGGGGTGGAGAAAACGTCAGAGAAACATAATGGGAAACAAATCCGACCTCCAACATACACAGTCATAGGGGAGAAGGAGTTATGTTTGAGGGGAAAGCGA